TTCAATCTTTCAATTCCATGGCAAATCTGGTTAAAATTATTAATGGGCGCCCCGCAATTTAAGTTTCTTCCAATCATTGATTTTGAAAATATTTTGTTTTTATTTTTGAAAACAACAAATACATACACAAAATTGGCAGAAGTCGGGCACACATAGAAAAAAATTGTAATCAGCTGGGAGCTCTACTTTACCTTTTTATTGTACGATGGTTGTAATGATATGTATTTTTCAACAATTTTTACAATTTTTTTCATTCAAGATTTTCAATTCCAAAATCGGTTTGACAGTTCATTGACCCAGTAGCTGTGTCGATGCGACTACCTGTATTCTTCTACCATAATATATTAAAATAGACCACGACAGACCAATTGTTACGAATATGTGTTTAATGTAAACGTAGCATTAGAAGTGGTTTGAAGGTGTCCATCCATCCATTTTTTTATACGATGCCAATAGGAGATTGTTATAATATGCATTTTTCAACAATTTTTACAAATTTCAATAATTTTTCATTCAACATTATCCATTCCAAAATCAGTTTGACAGTTCATTGTCCCAGCAGCTGTGTCAATGCGACTACCTGTATTCTTCTACCATGGTGTACATCTAGCAGTTGCTTCTTTGTGAAGTATTCATGACTAACCAATAGGAGTAGGGAATAACGATTTTAGACCCTAGGACTCTTTGGACCAAATCCGTTTCAGCACATTTTAAGTCGATCTAGCAATGTCCGTTCATCCGTCTGGCTGGCTGATGCGCACAATAACTCTCGAAGAGAATATCCGACTTGGTCCATACATGGTACATCGAACTATTATTATCAAACTTAGATCGAACGATTATTATTATCAAACTTAGATCGACTTCTGAGCAAGGCAATATGGATCCACTTCTTCCAGTACCTCCCCCCCAAAAAAAGGTAAAAATTGTCAAAAAATATTTTACTGCACATAAAGAGAAGGGAAAATCCAATTTTGCTCCAACTTTGCAAATCCTGCGATAATGGATAATATCGATCCACTTCATCGAGGGTCAACATTTTGAATATCCATGAAGCTCATAAAACGTGAAAGTAACATCCGATTCCATTCAGACTTGGTACATCTCTATATATATTATAAACATGGTAGAGATCGGATCATTTTTGTGGTACCTCCCCCACAAAAGGTAAAATTTTTGAATAATCAAAACGATTACGGGTGAGACAAAAAAACTGCAACAAAGTCCAACGGCATAATTTTTTCAATGTTTATTGAATGAAAGCTAAAAATGTAGGAATTAGCATCAAATTTTAGCCTTTGGCACGAATTATGGCCTTCAAACCGCCAATAAAACTGTCACACACTGCCCGAATGTTGCTCTGCGGTATTGATCGACTCCTTGGTATTTTTTAGTGCCAACCTTGCTTTCCAAAATACTCCAGACACAATAGTTCAACGGATTGGTATCCGTAGATTTTAGTGGCCATTGTGCGCTGGAAATGAAGCGAGGTACCTCATTTTGTAACCATTCTTGGGTGGCGCGTGCTGAGTGCGATGGTGCTGAGTCCTGTTAGAAAGTCCAAGGTCTGCGGCCAAAATGTTTGAGTGTCCAAGGCTTTAATACACCCCTAAAATTTTTTCGCAATAATATTCGGTATTTATTCTGATGCCATGGGCGATTAATACAAGCGAAGAGCGACCATTAGCTGTTATGGGGACCCACACCATCACCATGGCCGGCGCTTGAGTTCTGTTGGCCAACCAAAGGTGCACATTTTCAACTGACCTCTTTGGCAAGTAAACACGATCATTTTTTTTTTTTGTTTTGTTAAAAACTGCTGGACAACGAATGTTCTCTCATCGGAGAAACTCAAATTCGGCAGTTCACCACTTTCGGCCAAGCAAACCAACTCTTTAGCTCTATTGAGTCCATATTCTTTCTGTTGTTCTTCCACTTTTAGGAATTTCAATGGCTTTACCCCGAACTCATTTTTCGACGTTTTCTCCCACACAGAAGGTCAAAATTTTGAATGTCCAGTTTTGTGTCAGTTTAAAGCAGTCATTTTATGTCAAATGAGTTTTAGTAAAACATGCTAAGCTGTCAATTCAATTAAAACAAAAAAACCAAACATATTTTGGATATAGTAGCTTGTATGTCAATGCCCCAATTTTATATTCTTCTCTTGTGTACTGTAGGGTACTTATCAGTATTATTCAATATTCAATATTTTAATCAGCGCAACTAATCAGAAAAAAATATTAAACGAAATCGTTTTTTAAATTGTGCGAGCCATAGATAAAATACATTCGCTTGTTCGTAGAAATCGTCATTGTTTGTTAATATGTTTGTACAATTGATTTATCGCGTATGTATATTTGTACACACAATGCAGATGAGTTGGCATTTCTAACAGGAACGAAATCGCGATGATTAATACTTTCAGTTTATTGGGAAATGTAGAACCTTGTCAATGATTTCATGGCACTAACGGTCTTGATAATGATGATGCAAATCCGATGTTGTATTATTATTATTTTATTTATTATTTTATTATTATTATTTAATAATTGTAAACGTAATTAAGGCAGTATGCATGGTAAAATTATAAAGGTAAAGTCATTTACCCATCTCTGCATTTTCTGTAATTTGCCATGTCAAATTTCACTTCATAAAAACTAGGTTTCCATCTCTGATTTGCGTATTTACAATGGATTTAAAAGTGAGATGAAAAGACTTTAACCAACTTCAGACTGCTGTCATTTCTAAGCCACTCGTCCGACAGCTGTTAAAATTATTCCTGTGACAGCTCATTATATTGTTTACAAGCGCACAAAAGCATTTTGGTGAGAATTTTCCTGAAAAAAAGTTATTCGTGATGGAATTCAAGCGTGATAGTGTAATTTCTTTATATTTGGCTGGAAAACCACGTTAGAGCACTCCAGCATTTAAATGTGAATAAGTCTTCTGTGTCTCGTACCATCGCTCGTTACCGTGATACTTGTAGCGTAGCCCGACGTCTAGAACAGCAACATCAGCAGAAATGGTTCGAAAAGTAAAGAAGCGACTTAATCGAAACCCGCGTCGCAGTAGCCGAAAAATGACTCGTGAGCTGAACATATCGCAATTTTCCATTCAGAAAATATTGAAAAATGAGTTCGGGATAAAGCCATTGAAATTCCAAAATTCGCAACATAGAGAAAATAGACTCAAAGGAGCTAAAAAGTTGCTTTACTTGGTCGAAAGTAGTGAACTGCGGAATTTGGTTTTCTCCGATGAGAAAACATTCGTTGTCCAGCAGTTTGTAAATAAACAAAATGATTGTGTTTACTTGCCAAAGAGGTCAGCTGAAAATGTGCACCTTCGGTTGGCCACCAGAACTCAAGCTCCGGCCATAATGATGGTGTGGGCCGCCATAACAGCCAATGGTCGCTCTCCGCTCGTATTAATCGACCGTGGCATAAGAACAAATGCCGAATATTATCGCGAAAATATGCTGGAGGGTGTATAAAGCATGCTAACATTTTGGCCGCAGACTTGGACATTCCAACAGGACTCAGCACCATCGCGTGCTGAGTACGCGCCACCCAAGAATTGTTACAAAATTAGGTTCCTCGCTTCATTTCCAGCGCACAATGGCCACCAAAATCTGCGGATATCAATGCGTTGGACTATTGTGTCAGGAGTATTTTCGAAAGCAAGGTTGGCACTAAAAAATATCAAAGTGTCAATCGCCTCAAGCAAGCTCTTCGCCGGGAATGGTGTGAGGGTTTCATTGGCCGTTTGAAGGCCATAATTCGTGCCAAAGGTGGCCAATTCGAACAAATCTAAACTTATTCTAAAATTTGATGTTATTTCCGACATTTCTTGCTTTCATTCAATGAAATTAAAAAAAAAATAAAAATTATGGCATTTGACTTTGTTGCAGTTTTTTATCTCACCCTATATGTTTGGAGAATTCTGGAAAAGTTCTGACAGAGAGTAACAATTCTTGACAGAGTGCATGGATGAAGAATATAGGTAGATGCATCAACGCTTGGGAACATTGATATGTCAAAATTTTTAAAGTGTTTTGTCAAAAATAAGTCGATTTTTATACGTTTTCTTATACGACGTCATTCGGAGGTTATTATAATTCGCGTTTTTAACAATTTTTACAATTTTTCATTCAACATTTTCAATTTCCAAATTGGTTTGACAGTTCATTGTCCCAGCAGCTGTGTCGATACGACTACCTGTATTCTTCTACCATGACAGAGTGGGTGGCTGTAGTCATATTTACAACAAATGTATTATATCATGGTAGAATCAAGAAGGTAGTCGTGTTTACAATATGTCTGCAATGTAATATGTTTACAATTTTTCACAATTTTTCATTTGGTAACATCTCATTGTCAAAAATGTTTATTTACAAATCCATTGTATACTCACAAATCAGAGATGGGAACCTGTTTTCTAGGCAGTGAAATTTGACAAGGTAAGTTACAGAAAATATTCTTATTTAAAAAATGTTTTTACCTTCTTAATTTTATAATGATTTTTATGAACGTGATTTAGAAGTCCAATTCCTTTCAGGCTTTATTTATTTGCAGATCTAATAAAAACTTCATTTATAACGGTTTCTCTGATGATTATTTCCAATTAAGGAGTAAAAGTTCGTTAAGACTTATGAAATCCACTCGATCTCAAATGTCAATTCCAAAGCTTATTTGACATTCTCCACTGGATTTATAAATACGATAAACGTGACGTATGCGCTATGAAATTAACATTTTAACAGTCTATACGCGCTTGAACAGGGGGCTTGTGACGTTCCATGTTTAGAATTTTGTGAATGAAATGTTTTACTAATAATTCTTCTGATGTAAACAGAGTCTTAGTTCTAGTCTTCTTTTATTATTGAACCAACGTTTATGTGATAGTAAAACTCAACTCTAATTTAAGACAATTTCCCTTATGTAAACGCTAGGTAATGCTTCGTTTAAATAATTCCAAATAAATATAATTTTCATACACATTATCACAAATTAAAACATTTTATTTATACAAAAATTATTTACAATATTATAACACAATAAACTATCGCTAGTTTATAACAAGCTTTGCAGATTCTGCATTTTCCAAATATTCATATTTATATTTTTCAAATAATTCCTGAATATTATCAATGAATTTTTGATGAATTTCATCAATATATTTGGCGTCGGGATTATCCATCTGTTCAACATCGATGGGTGCACCAATAACTTGAACAATACGTTTACGATGTGGCAACAATCCTATGCCATTTTTCAACAGACCACGACCCGTTACAATTAGAGGTGCAATGCCCAATGTATTTTTAACAGATAATTGGAAATTTCTCAACTTGGAACCGGGAGGATTGTCTTTTTGATCCAAAATGTCAACTTCACCAAAGGAAAAACTCGGCACAATGGGGGAACTAGTTAAAAGAAGAAGAAGAAAAGTTAGAACTCGTTTTTATTTACACACTTTATCACAGCAATATGATTCATAATTTGACTCAAAATATATGTCAACATACGTCAAAAAAATCCAGATGGATCCATTATCACGGTAAAGGACTAATATGTAAACGTAGCCTTAAAAGTTTGTCATTAACAGTTTCAAACGGCATTTAATTTGGAATCCATTTTTTTGTACCAGAAACATTATCGTCATGGTACAATAAAAAGGTAGGGTAGAGCTACCAGCTGATTAACATTTTTTTTCTAAATGTGCCCGACTTCCGCCAATTTTGTGTATGTATTTATTGTTTTGAAAACCAAAAACAAAATATTTTCAATAACCATTTTTGCCTTGGAATTGAAAGATTAAATAGTTTAGGTATTTTTGAAAGAAAACTCAGACATTTCATACATCTTTCCTGCTTTTTAACTCATTTTAAAAATGAGGAAAAGGGAAAACAATTTGTTACAATAATTTTGCAAAAATTCTGACGAAAGCAGACATAGTCTCAGGGCTGTAATTCTGTAGTTTTACGAAGCTGTTCTACCTCCTTATTGTACCATGATTATAATCTCACATGTTTTATGGAAAGCGTCTAAAAGTACGCTTAGATTTACGAAATTTACTCGACCTTAAATGTCAATTTTCTAGCGTATGGTAAAATAATATAGGTAGGCGCATCGACACAGCTGCTGGGAAAATGAACTGTCAAACTAATTTGGGAATTGAAAATTTTGAATGAAAAATGATTTAAATTTGTAGAAAGTGTTGAAAACGCGTATTATAATAGGCTCCAAATGGAGTCGTACAAGAAAACATATAAAAATCTACTTATATTTGAAGAGACATATCAATTTTTTTGACATATCAATGTTCCCAAGTGTTGGCGCAGCTACCTGTATTTTTCTACCATGGATACGATTTACGTAACTTATACGTCATAGTAGAATAATATAGGTACATGCACATTGATATGTCAAAAGTTTTAAATTTTTAATGACATTTTTACAAATTTCAATTTTTTTTTCATTTAAAATTTTCAGTATCAAAATTGGTTTGACAGCTCATTGTCCCAGCAGCTGTGTCGATGTGATTACCTGTATTCTTCTACCATGTTGAATAGAATATAAAGAACATTATTAATTGTTAAATCGAGTAGATCCCAACTGACAGTTAATTTTCAGTTGCAATCCACTTGATTTTTACCAGAGTACTGCTATAAAGTCCACGTTTATATTACATCATTTGCACATGATAACTGATCTGTCACTATCGTTTTGAGATTAAAATATGCTTACATATGCGAAATTTCAGTGAATTTCAATTGGCAATTCCATTGCGTGTACGTCAAATAAAATTTACTGGATTTAATATTTGAAAGAAACGCAATGGAATTGACACATAAGGTGAGAATATATAAAACGCTTTTTTGACTGGCTTATGTTATCGGCTGGCTTCTTCGTAGAGAAGCAAAGGAGTTTAGGCCTTACGCTCCTTTGTTCCTTTCCGAAGCAGCCAGCCGATGGTTTAAGCCAATCAAAAAAGCGTTTTATGTATTCTCACCTTTAAAATCCGGTATATTTTCTAGATGTAAACATCCATGTGGTTCCAATACATACCCCGATTGAATGGCAATTTTCACAAAACCTTTGCGTTTCTTCAAGGTCAATACATACGAACCAGGATGACAGTCGATGGCTTCATGAGCTCCACCCACCAATAATGCAACAGCATTTGATGTATAACCATCTAGATTGTGCGGATGATGAGGATTGCATGACTTTTTCAGTTGCAACAGTAGTGCCTTTTTAGAACATGAAACCATGCCCCATGCTCGCAATAATTCACGCATTAAAGGTGTACGAAAATACATATCCAATGTGGCAGTTTTTGGACGAATTCCGGGAAACAGTTCCAACCATTTTCCAATGCTGACAGCCATGTTGAGGGTAACACCGGTTCTGAAAATAGCAAAGAAATTATGTTGATTAGAAAAGTCTTTAATGAATATAGGACACTTCGTACGCCGTGCACACATAACAAATCCAGTGGATTTAAACTGTCATTCGATTGCACGTGCATCCACTGGATGTGAGAATAGATTTAATTTAACGTATATTGGAATTGAAAGTTGTAATCTAACCGATTACGTAAGTGTAAACGTACTTTAACAATAAGATATATTCATGGTAGAAGAAAATAGGTAGACACGTCGACACAGCTGCTGGGACAATGAACTGTCAAATTAATTTTGGAATTGATTTGTAAAAATAAATTTGTAAAAATTGTTGAAAAACGCGAATTATAACTTATAAAAATCTACTTATATTAAAAAAAAAAAAACATTGAATTTTTTTTTGACATATCTAAAAAATGTATTTCCGATTGGCGCCAAAGATGAAAACATATACAAGTCGACTTATTTTTGAAGAAACATTAACAAATTTTGGACATTTCAATGTTCCCAAGCGTTGATGCATCTACCTGTATTCTTCTATCATGGATATATTCAAAGCAGAAAAATACATAGCATCGACACAGCTACTGGGACAATGAACTGTCAAATCAATTTTAGAAGTAAAATTTTTGAATAAAAATTATAAAATTTTTGAGAAATTGTTAAAAAATGCATATTATATCTTCCTCCGATTGGCGTCGTATAGGAAAACATATAAAAATCTACTTATTTTTGAAAAAAAAAAATAAGCGCTGATGCATCTACCTGTATGTTTCTACCATGATTCTATTTGTAGGGTTCTATAGTCATGCGTTAATTTTTTTATACTTTTAAATATAGCACGCTATAAGGGTGTAGCTTAAGACACAAAGTTTAGCCACTACATCTATTAAATCCAATTGTTTGATCTTTATTGCTATTAACACGTTTTACCTTGTTTTTCTTTTTCATTTGTACTTAAAAAACAAAAACATTATCATTTACTGGTTTTAAAAAAGGACAGTAACGATATAATAATTGTCTTGTCTTGTGTAAATACCATGTTAGCTTCCTATAGAGAATTAGCAACATCTGTTAACATCTTTCAACCTTTTCTTAACTGAATATCATTTAATGGTTCTGATAAAGAATTCTTGTAATTTTCGGTATAACTTACCCAATTATGCCATGGGGAAAACTTGCAATAAGATAGTTTCGATTGGGTGGCAACTCCGCGGTTTTAACCAATTCTATTGGGAAATAGGATCGTAAATAATCGGCCATTACACTGGTGCGCATAGAAAGTACTCTGTAAATAAATTTAGAGATTTTATTATCCAAAAATAGTTTGATTTAAGCATGGTAGAATTAAGAAGGAAAGTCATACATTTTTTTCTCAAAATTATTTATTTGACAACATCTTATTGTCAAAATATATATTAAAAAATCTACTTGCTTTATTATAATCAATAAAAAATATATATAAATGCAATGTGCAATGAGCTAAAGCTCAAAAAAATCTTATTGTTTATAAATCAAATAAAAAGGTCGATAAACAACCAATTCTCAAGATAAATAAATCCATTGCATATATAAATCATTATCAATTACAGAAAATGCAGAGATGGATATACTTATTGGAAATTACTTTACCTTCTTAATATTACCATGGGTTTTAGTTTAGTCTTTTTTTTTTAAAGCTTGGTCTTATAAAAAACTAGGTTTACATACAACATTTCTGATGGATTAACCCCGATAATTGACCAATATCAATAAATTATTTTTATATAATCAGATTTATTATTTATCATTTTCGAATGCCAAGGTTAAGCAGGGTACGGATTTTGAATAGAAACGTATTTTTAATCACTTTAAAATAGTTATTGTAAACGGCTTTTTATTTCCAATAAAAAACATCTAATATCCAAAAGGGTAATAAACAGCTGATCGCTTACACAGCTCCTCAGTAGTTTATTTACAAACATAGCGATAAAAAACATAATTATGAAAATGTGTATTGCGAACATCTCAGAATTAAATAAATATGATAATTAATAGATATTACAATATAAATGACGAGTTTCGTAAAAAATCATGTAAACCATGGTAAAAGAATATAGGTAGTCGCATCGACACAGCTGTCAAACCAATTTCGAAATTGAAAATTTTGAATGAAAAATTATTGAAAATTGTAAAAATCTTTATAAAAAATGTAATTTGTGTGCGAATAAAAATCTACTCATTTTTGTCAATTTCCAAAATTTCCAAGCGTTGATGAACCACCCTTTATTTTTTTACCATGATGTAAACCAAGGTACAGGAATTCAGGTAGATGCATTACCGCTTTGATATGTCAAAAAATTTAATGTTTTTAAAAAAGTACGTAGATTTGTATATGTTTTCCGATTTTCATTTTCAATTTTTCATTGAAAATGTTCGATTCCAAAATATTATTATTACTATTATTATTTATTTATTATGTTATAATTGTATATGTTATACAATTAGCATGTATTACAGAATATATGTGATATATTACAATCTTTATTTGGCGTAGCTGTGTGCCAATATATTTAAAATGTGTACATTTGTAAGTTTAGAATCATTAAAAATTCCAAAAAAATCGATTTCAAAATATAAAATTATTTTTAAGTATTTTTCAAATTTTTTTTAAAATTTAAGCATTTTATCATTCAAAATTTTCAATTCCAAAATTGGTTTGACAGTTCAACTGTACCTGTATTCTTCTGCCAAGATATAAACATAACCTTATGCAGTATTTACACAGCCACTCATTGCACAAAGATGTTTCAATTGTTTGATGCATGGTAGAAAATACAGGTAGTCGCATCGACACAGTTGCTCGGACAATGAACTGTCGAACTGATATTGAAATTGAAAATGTTGAGTGAAAAGTTATTGAAGTTTGTAAAAATTGTTGAAAGATACAAATTAAATCAAACTCCGATTTGCGTCGTATAAGAAAACATATAAAAATCTACTCATTTTTAACAAAACATTTTGAAAATTTTGACATATCAATGTTCCTAAGCCTTGATGCATCTACCTATATTCTTCTACAATGGCTTGATGCTTAATCCAGGGAACAGTTTTATTGTAAATGAATCCTTAAATGTCATATACAATATTTAATGTAAATGCTCTTTGCGATAAAACACTTCAGTTATTGTAACAAAGCATATGTTTCGTAAAAAACGTTACACTGATTTTATATGACACATTTTACATACCCAATGCCACGAACTGTCGATGCATTCGATTTGTGTTGCGAAAAAATATAAGCTAGTCGTAGTAAAAATATAGTCTTTCCAATATAACCTCCATTAATCTGAAAATATAAAATCCATTAAAAACATAATTTCAAAAGAACTGCAATCACATTTTTTCTCACTTACAAAAAGAATTCCATTTAAAAACCAAAAAATAAATGGTAAATACATAAATGTATTTATGTACAAGCCCGCCACGAATGTCTCCACATAACCTTTGAATGGCTCGGGAAGCTTACTACATCCATTCTTACTCTTTGTGCAAACTTTTTCTTGCTGTGCATTTACGGTTTCACGTTTTCCCTCGAATTGTTTGGCATTTTCTGTGATCGATGGTCCGTCCATCATTGTCGTTGCCATCGAATTAATATTATTCCGAAATGCCCTTTGGACTACCTTAAAGAACCTATTCCGCACTTCTCCACGTTCCAAGTTCAACTGAACTGTAATAGTTTTCATATATTCTTCGTTTTCATTTCATATCTGAAACCTAATATTTTCGAATTCAACATAGCCGATATAAATACAATAACACCTTATCTATGCCCTGTCCCCCATCCCTAGCCCGGCTTTCGATACTAGTTCGTTCATGTCCATCCATTATGAGTGTAACTCATAAAAATTATCATGCTCAAACACTTGTTATTCGATTAAAATGCATTCATATTTTGTGGGTCTATTTAGTATTTAATTATTTTTTGACAAACTTTATCGTTGTTATGCACAGTAGCCGAAACTGTGACGAACGTATAAATCAAAAGTCCAAAATGTGGGTAATGATTTTTTAATTTCTTTCCATCGGAAAGCAATGAAATGGTTACTAGGCACTACAAACTGAATTGATTAAATTGTCGCAAGGATAATCGCTAATCCTACGATTGTGGGTTTATCCACAGCATGGAAAACAATGCTTATTTCGACGTATAAATCATCGCACATTCAATAGGTACTGGATTTACCGAAAATGAACATCTAGATAAGTTGTCGAAACACCTATTGAGATTGGAATCGCAGAACGAAAGACATTCCAAAAAAAAAAACTGAGATAAAAAACTGCAAAAAATTCAAACGCCATAAATTTTTTATTTTTTTTTTTAATTTTATTAAATGAAAGCAAAAAATGTCGGAAGTAGCATCAAATTTAAGAATAAGTTTAGATTTGTTCGAATTGGTCACCTTTGACACGAATTATAGCCTTCAAACGGCCAATGAAACATGTCACACGCTGCCCGAATGTTGCTCTGCGGTATTTTGGCCCATTCCCGACGAGGCGCTTGCTTGGGTGATCGACCACTTTCGGCAAAGTGAAGCAACTTTTTAGCTCTTTTGAGTCTATTTTCTTTTTATTTTGGTGTAAGTTCTTGCTTTTTTGGAATTTCAAAACACTTGTGGTTGGATATTCGGTATTTTTATGATTTTGGCCACATTTTTTTCACGGATGTGTCTGAAAATTGGTATTTTGTAGTTCGAAATGGATGGTATATATAAGTAGACGTTTTGGTATATCCCCCATTTAACGGTCGGTGTTTTAATGATTTTTGCCATATTTTCCACATATTTGTCCAAAAATTGGCATTTGAAGTTCAAAATAGGTTCTAGCTCCGGCATAGAGCTTTGAAAATACTCGGTATTTTAATAATCCTAGTCACATTTACCCACAAAAGTGTTTCAAATTTGGTATTTAAGAAGTTTTGGTAGATGACAATCCTTGAAGTATAAAATTGTCTATGGGTGTTCTCATTTTGGTATGACCCCCATACAACGGCCTCTCCCCCTTTATGGTTTTTTAAAAAGTTTAACATCATTATCCAAAAGGTCTTACTTATGATACAATAAGGAGGTAGAAAAGCTTCGTAAAACTGCAGAAATACAGCCCTGAGGCTACGCCCGCTTCCTGCCAGACTCATTTAAAATTATAAACAACAAGTTGTTTTCATTTTTTTTTTTCACATTTTCCTCATTTTTGAACGAGTTAAATAGCGCGAAAAATGAATGAAATGCCTGGATTTTCTCTCAAAAATATGATCCAAACAGTTCAATCATTCAATTTCCTTGATACAATTTTTCATTTGACATTTCTTTCCTTTCTAAAAGTTTTCATTTCATATTTTCATAGAACAAGAATTGAGGCCCTGGTTAATAGCTTTAATGCGCAAGCCGCAATGTACGTGTCTTCCAATCATGGGTTTTGTAAATATTTTGTTTTCATTTTTTCAAAGCAATAATTACATGCACAAAATGGGCAGAAATCGAGCACACTTAGAAAAAAATTGTAATCAACTTGTATTTGTAGTTTAAAGTGGATGAAATTGTTTTCTTTACCCAAAGGTGGAGGGCATGAAACGTTCGACCAGACCGAACTTACTGTTTTTTACTTGTTTTTTTTTTTTCTATGCGACCATTTCAGAAAAAGTATTAAAATACATAAAAGGGTAGTGACATAAACAGTGTACTCTCAAAATTCAGTTATACGGAGTAGATTGTTTACGCGTTGCCAACTTATTTAAGATTCGTTAAAAACTTTTAAAGAAGTAATCGGTAACTAGAAAACTACTCTTCGTTTTTCGATCTGTTGATCCCTTTATGTTTTCCCGCCAAAGACAGACATGAGCAGATGGTTTGTGTCTACAATACATTGAGTAACCAAAGGAGTAACAGCTTATGACCGATACATGTTAATATAAAAATCACAATTACTGAAACGTATGACAAATAAAAGTTGGAAAAATTAAAAAAATATGGCTTTAAAATTCTATTTCACAGACCTTTCCAAAAAATTTCATATTGCCTTAGTGGTTTAAATCAGATAACGTTGGTAACTATTGGTCTGTTCCAGAAACTGAAAAAATCTACTAGTTTTGCAATTTTTTTTCGATATCATAAAGGGAAAATCGGTTATCATAGTAAAAACGTTTACATTCTTGCAGTTATGGAACAGAGCATATGTTGTTATGATATAATAACACAAGGTTCACAAGGTTGCACATTTTCTCTGACTTGTCCTATCTTTATATATCTATGTTCTTGCTCCCGCATACCCAAAAGGAACGAAGTTTTTTTTTTTCTTGAAATAACCATTTTTGATAATATTGGCATGTAAAATTATTTATATGAGTTCAAAGAAGCATTTTCTTAACCTGTGGAGGAATTTTTTAACTAATTTTTTGAGTTACCGATATATGTGGTAAAATAAACATTCTAATTTTTGGTCAAGTTAACGATCATACCGAAATACCTACCCATTGTCATAATGCTGTTAGTCTCATTTTTTTTTTTTTTTTTTTTTTTTTTTTTTACTTTTCATTCATAATTTAGGGTTTTAAAATAACCAGTCTTGGTACATAGGTACTACGGGTACCTATCCAACAATCAATTAAAACCCAAAAAAAAAAAAAAATAATTTAGGGTTTTAGTTTTACCGACATTTTTCGATAATTCAAAAATCGGTAATATTAAATTTTTTCACAAGTTAGTTACCAACATAAAGTAGTCGGTAGTTTCTACACATAGCAATAGTGCTGTCAACTTTAATTTAGTATTTTCATTCATAATTTTGCGTTTTTATTGTACCGATATTTTTCGATAACACATATTTGCTCTGTTCCAAAACCGAGGAATGTTAATTTTTTAACAACGGTAACCCATTTTCTCTTAGTGATATTTTAAAAAAATGCAAAACAAAGTAAGTTCTTGCATGTTTTGGAACAGAGCAATTGTTTTAAAACAGAGTTTTTATTACCATTTTAAGTGATTAATAGTACCATTAATACAGCCACATGGCAAAATCGATTATCGTTGTTAATTTTTTTTCGGGTTTTGGAACAGAGCAAAAGTCTATTTTCAGATTTTCACCATAGGCAAAAGTCAACTTCGAATTTTTAAATTTTCAACACCAAAAGCATATTTATCGATAAATCCGAAATCGACTTACTAAGCCCTACAATTCCATGCTCTTTTGGTGAATGTGTTCAAACCACTTGTGTTGTCGGCCGTTTTGTTTTGATTCCTCTTGTGTTGTCCGCCTTTCCCTTTTGATTCCCATATTTATTATCGATTTTCTCTCTGTGCTGTCTTTCTTTTCAGTGTTGCCATATTGTAGTGTCCTTTGTTCATTACTTCACTTTTTTTCTTTTCTCGGTGGCGTCGGTTGGTTATTATGGCCACAGAGGCCACAGAGGAACACAAACGTTTGGCAAACATAATTAAATCCTGTCACGACTCCCTACGCATCCTAACCAAACAATACGGAGCAGAGAAAGCATGGCAGGAACATACCAAAGACACCAAACGCTTGCAAGAATATGCAGAGGCAATGCATCAATTGGCAAATATTTGGGAGACGAACACCACCAATCAAGATCTAATGGCAAGGAGCCGTGTAAAATGGACAATCGAATATTGTATGGCATATTTCTTCTCGGAACGCATTTACCTGGAGAAACGTTTGAGAGAACAACGCCTGCTGGAATCTTGGGAAGGTTTTGATTGTAGTCAGTGTCAATATCTCGAAACATTGCCGGAGAAAATACGTGTGCTGGATGTGGGTAGCTGTTTTAATCCGTTTGGAAAATCACAACAGCAATTTGAGGTAACTGCCATTGATTTGTGTCCAGCAACGGAAGATGTCCTCAAAGGGGACTTCCTGAAAATTCAAGTTCAATCTATGCCAGACGAACCGAAAACTGTGTTGGATGAACACAATGAAGTTTGTACCTTACCTGCCAGCTATTATGAATGTGTAGTCTTTAGTTTGTTGCTGGAATACATACCAAGTTCGGAGCTACGTTTGCAATGTTGTCAAAAGGCCTATGACCTATTGAAATATGAAGGTATTTTAATTATTATCACTCCCGATTCCCAACATGTGGGCAAGAATGCTGCCATTATGAAAAATTGGCGTTATTCCCTGGGAATGCTGGGTTTTAGTCGCATACGTTTTGAAAAATTGCCGCACATTACTTGTTTGGCATTTCGCAAGGCGAGTGATCCTCGTGTCGCACAAAGATGGTCGCAGCTGCATAGAGAACCCTATATGGAATTGACAGTTGATATACCACAGGACAATAAAACATTTGATGATTGATTTATTAAATTCGCTGCAAGTACTTTCATTTGATGAGAAAACAAATTGGAATATTTGGTATTTAATTTAGAAAATTTTCCAATGTAGTTTAACTATGTAGTTAGATACGTAGCATATTTCAATTTGAAACTAATGGTGAGTTCTATCCTTTCTTTAGATAGCGTCAATATTAGATATATAACAAGTTAAAGAATGTTATGTTCGGAAAAGGTCTATTTTTTACCATGAGGTAAAGAAAATATTTATAAATAAAAGTGGAAGTTCTAAAGGGTCGATATACCAGAAACGTTGGGAAGTTGAGAAAATATTTTACCACCGGAGGAAAAACCACCTAAGAATACAAAAATTAAACAAAAATGTAAAAATCCATAAAATACCGAATATCGGAAGGTACTGGTATACAGGGTGATATAAAAAAACTACAACAAAGTCAATCGCCAATTTTTTTTTTAATTTTGGCAATTAATTTTTTTTTTAAATTTTATTGAATGAAAGCAAAAAATATCGGAAATAGCATCAAATTTTAGAATATGTTTCGTTTTCCAGCCAAATATAAAGAAATCACACTACCACGCTTAAATTCCATCACGAATAAATATTTTTCTGGAAAATTCTCACCAAATTGCTTTTGTACGCTTGTAAACAATATAATGAGCTGTCACGGGAATAATTGTAACAGCTGTCGGACGAGAAGCTTAGAAATGACAGCAGTCTGAAATTGGTTGCAGTTTTTTTAATCTCACCTTGTATGGGGCTTTAGAAAAACTTGGACTGATGTACATTTAAACTATTATGTAAAATTTCCAAGTTCTATGATGTATCCTTTTGTCAACAGACGGATATCGTTAAATCGACTCTATGGGCTCTTAAACGAATATGTAGAGATGAAACAGAGTATTAATAAAATAACATTTTACTTTTTCCAAAATCGATTTAAATTGGATAGTTCATATGCATCTGATCTTCCTGGAAAATTAATAGCTTATTCTAAAGGTATTGAAATATATAGTCGTACGTGTTTTTTTTTTTTTTTTGAGCAAGTCTCTGCACATGTCAATTCATGCCTTTGAGTCCCTTACCTAAAATGTTCTAAGCGACTTTTGGAATGACAGGCTCTGGTTGTACTATTAATGCTCCAATCTGGAGCCTGGAAAAAGCTACTAGTTCTGCGATTTGTTTTGATGTAATTTTACTGTTTTGGGCTGTTGTATCTATTACGATCTTCAAATACCAAATTTGAAATAATTCCGGTGAATAATGTCGCTAAAATCATCAAAATACCGAATATTGGGAGGTGCCGTCATATGGAGGCTACACGAAGACATGAATCTGCACAGACAATTTTCTGTCTTGGGCTATAGTATCCATTACGAACTTCAAATACCAAATTTTAAACAATTCCGGTAAAAAAATGTTTCTAAAATCACAAAAATACCGAATATCAGGAGGTGCCGTTATATGGGGGCTATACGAAGACGTGGACCTACATGGCCCACAGTATTATTTTCATATATAAGTACACATATGTAACGTATTTTTTTTTTTTTTTTTTTGAAAATCATCTAAGTAATTGGGGATAGGGGTATAGGTTCAGACTTTTCTCAGAATAAAGCTTTTACCCCATGGAACCCTTGGTTTTTAAAGATTTCTCCCTCAATTTTTATCCCAGATGGTTACAAATTGGAATATTGGGTTTTTAGTGGAAAAATATTTAATATAAGTATATTTCGGTCAGCTCCACAAAGCTAGTTGGATTTCTTCCCAACATTTTCTTCATTCCGCCGCTTACGGAAGCATAGCTGAATGCTATCGGACGCGTCCACAGGTTGCGGATAGTGGGATGCCCAATAGATATATTGGGTAGCTGCGAATTTTTGAAATAAGCAGTCGCGGACAGCTCAGCGGGTCCGAGGGGAGAGTCTCGGACCTAAATTTCCGAGTGCCTATGATCCTTGGACTGACGAGGCGAATCTATTGGCGCCCCTAAATTAACCAATATTGGTGCTGGTCTACCACCTTAATAGACTCCCTAACACTGGGGTGTACAAGTACATCCGTGCCCATCAGTGTTCCTTAAGGTTTGCAGTCAGGGTACCGACTGTATTTGAACGGATACCTCGTTGATACCTGGGCGCCTCAACGAGTATTAGGCTTAGTTGCCAAGTCCTTACCATGGTATGGAGGCTATGCCATGGCGGACCTCATCTCCTCCCAAGTCCAAATGCTTTTATGGAGAACAACAATTTTGAAAACATAACCCCCTATTTAAATTCTACCAACACGTTGACGACCCCGGACCATCCCAAGGACATGAGTACGCCCACAACTTCGAAGGCGTTAAATTTTGCCAGGTATGTTGCTTTGAGGACAGCAATCACGGGCGGAGAAGAACTCACAAGCGGCGAAATTTCGGCTCTCTTAAAAGTGTGGTCGAACGTCGAAGAGCTCAATGCGTCGGATAAAAACCACGAACCCCTTCAGCGGCAAGATGCGATAGAAGAAGACCAATCAACGGAGAGTATCTCTGACATAATTTCTGTTTCTTCGGAAAACCTTGACACCAAAGATCAGAAAGCCAAAAGGGGCTACAAGCGGGCAGTAAAATATTGCAGAAAATTTATCGACAAGGATCGCTCTGCCATAACGGAGAGGGAAAAGTGTTTAATCAAGACGAACTTGAAAGTAGTCCGCAAATATGAAAAGAATCACCCGCATCTACCTAAGACATCTCCTGACTTTGAGACTCTCCTACTTCCAGCGACGGGTTTTGACAAACGGACGTGCCCTACTGAGGGCTCGGACATGGACGAGAAGAAGCCTTTCGCGGACGTGTTCTGGAACACATCAGCTGTCGGTGCTCTCGACCTAACGACAACGCCAGCTGTGAGGTCAAGCCCCGACCCAATTGAGCATGTAGCGCCTTCTGTAAAAAAATCAAGGACACGAAAGCGTAAGAAGAATGGCCCTGGAACGATTTCTACCTCTAATTCCATTGCTTCGACGAAAACCGAAATTTCTACACCAAACACAACTTTAAAGAGAAGAAAGTCAACTGAAGAACCGATTTCGAACTCTGTAAAGAAAAGAAGGTCAACAGAGGAACAGATTTCGATTTCTGAATCCATGGCTTCGAAGAAAACTGAAATCTCTACTCCACACACACCTGCAAAGAGAAGAAAGTCAACTGAAGGGCCACACCCGCATGCCAAGAAACCCACGCTAAATCGGATTTCTATGACACAAGTCTCCTCTTTTTCTTTTCCTGCCACCAGCCAGAAAACTGTGAACACGAAGGTCGACAATGCCCAGACGATGCAAAACTCCAATCTGAGCCAAACGGCGACCTCCAAGTCACAACAACAAGGCCAACAGGCGAGGAAAGGAAAATACTCTCATACAATGTATCCCAACCACCTTCGGTTGGCGATCATTGACAAAGCTCATCCTGAGGGAAGAATCAGTGATAGTCGGTGGCTGCTGATTGAGGAATGTCTTAGGGACATTGTCTTCTCGGGAGCAGGGAGTCCCATGCAAATGCAGTTCGGCAGTGCAACCCTTTATAAGGGCGTCAAAGTAATCTGCTGCGAAAACGTGGAATCCAAGGATTTCCTCGTCAAAACAGTAGGTGAACTGGGTGTCCTATGGGAAGGTAGTGAACTAGCGGCTGTGTCACTAAAGGAGATTCCCTGCGGAAGAAAATTGTCGGCATGGGTACCCCCACCATTGGTGGATCCAGCGCGCATTCTAACGATCTTGGCTAAACAGAATCCCAATCTACAGACGGATAACTGGCATATAGTTAATTCCAGTCCGGATAGCGGAGGCCTTGTCATTAAGGTTGCCATCGATGCCAAGGGACAAGAGTATCTACAGGCTCGTGGGGGAAAATTACATTTCGGTTCGGGATGGATACGATTCCGTATCACACCGACACGCTAGGAGTATCCACGCAGCCGCAACTTCGCATCACGTACATAAACTTGCGTCACTGCAAGACTGCGGCTGAATTAGACTCACCAACACTGAAAGGTAAGAACATGAATCGTAGATAAGAGAAACTAAATCTTAGCATGCTTCTTTCATTGCAGTGAGGATGTAAACACAAACTTAAAGAGTCATTTATTTCGCACCAGGAAAATATATGAAAAGATTGCTCAAAGAATTTGGGGCGCAAAAGCGACTCCGCTGTGGCTGCAGGTACACTAAAAATGATGCAAGTCCCTATATATTTTTTATTTCAAAATATTACCTTAGAATCCCGAAACTTTATCTTACTGGGAAAATATGCGTCCTTTTAGATAAGGGAAAGATCGATTTTAAATTTTGCAGTCGCTAATTGGGATGAATTGCTCATTTTAGGCTGGAGAAAATCACATGGTGCGCCCGTCTTACCATCAGAAAATACCCTCTCAGAGCCCTTTAGATAATCTTCACCGGAGCTGGATAGGTCTGTAGATCCCCCAACAATTTTCCTGTTAAGAAATTAAAACTAGTATAGTGGATCAAAGGTCTAGCTTAGATAATGAAAATGCCAACAAGGCCAAGCAACATGTGATTACGAAATAAACGCAGATCCTGGCTCCATTTCAGTCAGTCAGCGACGAGTCAAGATCTTGCATGTGGTAGATAACATTCGGAAAGGTTTCAGAGAGCTGCACCAATTTTATTGCAAAATTAAATAGCAGTGCTCCAAAGATTGTAGTGTATACATTTCTTAATTTACATTCATTAACTATATTTATAGATAAAGCAGCATCAAGGAAGGAAGCTGAAGTTGGTGAACAGTTCACAGATTGGTCACGATGTATATTTTGAAGATTATATATCACCACTCATGAACATCTTACAATGCAACTTGATATCAGAATTCCTGACTGCGCTGTCTGGACCGCAAAGGAAACCAACCCTAGACGGTGAACCTCTTTTTTTTATGAAAGTCACAGATACAATGGAGAATGGGTGCAGGAGACTTCGCGACAGCTTACAGTTGGAAAACCTAGATCAATCATATCCAAAAATCAAATAGGTTATTTGCTTCCCTAAAGAATCTTGCCTAACGTTTGTGGTATGAACTTTTACTGTCACCGAACACATGACGAAAAATTGAGCAGATGATGACACTGTTTAATACAGACTCTGCGAGGACGAGGAGGAAGACTCATACTGACAGAAGAACAATCGATCCAAGATATAAACATCTTCCATGGGAAACCATCATCAGCCATTCTTAAGCCGGGCAAAAGTCACTTGTAATTGCAAACAACGCGAAAACAGAAACTTGTAACAACAGCATTCTTTAAATAAAAGTTTAAAACAAATACATTTTTCTAAACATTATCTAACAAATCTTAAAGTATGAAGATGTGGGGTTAGATCGAAAGTTTAGTATCCAGGTACCCAAAAGGGACAGGATATCAATATTAGACATCTTTCAAAGTCTAGTTTTGTATTGATTATATATTGACTATACATTCAATAATTGCAAATATTTGGAACCATAACCTTCGGTCGCACATAAATAATATACTGAGTGTAAAAAATTGTAATTTTGAATTGGCATTTTTGGAAGTAAAAACATTGTCCGAATTAGTTGCAAATCAGTCCTTCGATATTGTTGTATTATTGGAACAGGAAATAAAGTATTGGTAGAATTATTAAATTTTTGAAATCCGCTGGTTGGTGCGCACGATAACTCGGAGGAAGTATCCGATTTGATTCAAACTCGCTACATCGTAATATTATTGTCAAACTTAGATCGAGTTCGGAGATGGGCAACATCGGTCAACTGCTTCTGGTACCTTCCCCACTAAATGTCAAAATTTTCAAAGAAATTAAGTTACTGCACAGAAAGAGAAAGAATGATCCGATTTTCCTCCAATTTTGCAAATACTAATATTTGCACCAGTGCTAATATCGGCCAACTCCATCAAGTGCCTCCCCCACAAAGCGTCAACATATTGAATAATTATAACTATAATAAAATGTGATGTAAGAGTCCAATTTTCTCCAAATCAGATCACAATATTTTTATTAACCCAAGGTCTGGTGTGAAGATGGAATATATCGGTCAACTCCTTCTGGTACCTCCCCCAGCAGAGGGTCGAATACCCATGAAGCCCATAAAACGCGCAATTAACGTTCGATTCCATTCAGACTTGGTAAAGATGGTTGAGATCTGACCATTCCTTCTAGTACCTTCTCACAAAGGGTCAAAGTTTTGAATAGCCAAAACGATCATAAAACCCGAAATAAACATCCGGCCCTCTCCATATTTCATACATCCCATTATTTCTACTAACATAAGATCTGCTGTGAAGATGGAATGTATCGCCCATTCCTTCTGGTACCTCCCCCACAAAGGGCCTATGTTGCTAATAACTAAAACGATTGTTAAATCCGAAATAACTATCCGGTTCTGTTCATATTTCACACATCACAATATTTCTATTAACCCAAGGTCTGGTGTGAAGATAGAATATATCGGTCCACACTTTCTGGTACCTCCTCCACCAAGGGTCAACATTTTGAATATCCATGAAGCTTATTAAATTCCATTCAGACTTGGTACTTCACAATATTTCCATCAACACAAGATTTGTTATAGCAAGTAAAAAAGCAGTAAGTTCGGCTGGGCCAAACTTTGAATACCCTCCACCATTTGGAGCGAATTAGAAAATTTTCAAAAAAAAAAAAAAATAATAATAAAATCGATTAAAAGTTCTTTTAAAATCTTTAAAATATCTAATACAGGAAGGTGCCGATATGGGGGATATACGATATTGTGGACCTATAAAGACAAATCTATGTCTGCGTGTAAAGTACTCACAAGGAACTCCTTGTGTGGATTTTCAGATAATTCCATTGGAAAAAGTAAAAAAAAGAAAAAATCATCAAAATACCGAATATAGGGGAGTACCGTTATATGGGGGCTATACGATATTGTGGTAGATCGATAGATAATTCTCTGCCGAGGTATAAAGTACCCACAAGGAACTACTTGTGTGGATTTTCAGACAATTCCGTTGAAAAATGTGGCTAAAATCATCAAAATACAGAATATCGGGGGCACAGTTATATGGGGGCTATACGATATCGTGGACCGATATAGCCCATCTTCGAACTTGACCTGCCTGCAGACAAAAGATAGATCTGTGCAAAATTTTAGCTTCCTATCTTAATTCGTTTAGGCTGTAGCGTGATTACAACAGACGGACGGACAGGGCTAAATCGTCTTAGAATTTTACGCTGATCAAGAATATATATACTTTGTTGGGTCTAAAATGATTGTTTCAAACGGAATGACGAACTTAATATACCCTCCATACTTTTTTTGGTGGAGGGTATAAAAATGGTAGACCTCGGAGCATTTCTTCTTATACCTCCTCCACGTGGGGTTTAAGATTTTGAAAAACAAAACGCTCAAAGAAAGTGAAATAAGCATCCAAATCATTCAACTTTCACACATCCAAACATTTTTACTAACACAAGATCTGTTGGGAAGATGTGTACATCTCAAATCCCCTTCTGGTACCTCACCCACGAAGGGTCACAATTTTCAATGCATTTATCTGTCATAACTTGCGAAACAAGGCGGCGATTCTTTGCAACTTGCTATATCTAAATATTTCTCTCAACCAGTAACCTTAGATTAATATGGAACTTATGAGATGGAATATGAAAATGGTCGACTATGTCTCAGGAACATTTTAACATTTCTTAAAATGATCGTATAAAGTGAAGGAAGATGTCGATATAGTTTATACCTGGCATTTCGCAATATTTATGTCATTTTAATCATAACACAAGTCAAAATTTACTTAAATAATCAAACACAGGCTGAGGGTATACATCTGTCTACTTTCTTATCTGTTCCAATAATACAACAACATCCCAAAATCCCAATTTTTGAAATCCGATCCGAAATTCGAAAATGTATATGAATCGATAAAACGTAACAGCATTTTTCCAAACAGTAGATTCCATAGATCTTTTTTAATTTTCCTTTAGTTCTATACATTCGAATATGTATTTGGTTGAAAAGGCAGAAAATTATAGATGAATTAGTTAAAATGTCTATTCAATAATAATACTAATTAGACGCTAGTGTTGATGTTGATGCTGCTGTTGTTGTTGATTGTAGAATTGTTGTCATTTGGAGTGTTGCTATTTGTAGTGCTGTTGTTATTTGTATTTTGGTTTACATTTTCATAATTATTAATGCCACTGGGACGAGGACGACGTATCATATTAATACTATATTCCACTGGATGATGACGACGATAGTGGGTGGAACGATTTGATTTTGATTTAAAAGTAGCATCACAATAGGCACATTTATACAAATCAATGCCGGTGTGGGTTGCTGTGTGTTCCTGTAAATAAAATAATGATGATTAAAATTGTAACATTTTATGAATCTGAATAATTGCCTTAAGTAATGTGGGCGTCTTAAATGCCTTATCACACATTGTACATTTGTGCTTCTTTTCGGGATTATGCTTAAATTCCATGTGCTTTTTTCTAGCCTCTCGGGTCGATGACACAAAACCGCATATTTCACAGGTATGATCCTCATCGGCTCTCACGTGCATATTTAACATATGACGTTGGGCTGTCCAACGACTGGAATACCATTTGCCACAATACTGACACTGTTCGGGTATTTTTGGTGTATGCACTTTATTGTTGTGTTTCTTTAGCGTATCATGTGTGGGCAGAGCTTTGCCACAAATATCGCATATAAATTCCTTATTCGGATTGTGATATTCCATGTGGCGCAGCAAATAGGCTTCGCAGGAGAATCTGTAAGAAGAATTAAAAAAGTATTTATATATATATATTTAATATAACAATTTAAGGTTTGTAGACATACAGTAACTGTAAAAAATGTTTTGATTTAACACACATTTTTTGGAATATATTAAACTTGATAAAATAAAAAGCTTTCTCCTTTCATAAAACTAGAGTAATTTTTGGTTAGTGTACTCAATGGAAAAAAGTTTTTGATTAGTGTGCTCAATGTATAGCATCCATGGCCCTATAGGCTTGATACAGTATATGTGAAAAAATATATAAAAAAGGATCCTATTAAATAAAACTACTCAGTAAATCGCAGATCTCTTTTTATTTCCTATAATTTTTTTTTTGGCTTCAAAACAAATTTCCTTCATGTTAAAAATGGAACCCATTGCCAAATTAAAACACCGCCCGCCGTTTGTTTTTCATTTCCAAAATTTACTTTTTATTTTAAAACAATTCCCACTAGACACTTGAATAATTGTCAATTGCCGTGGGCCTCGAACGTCTTATCATATTGGCATTATACTCCACCGGATGATGGCGCCTGTAATGGGTTGAACGATTGGATTTTGATTTAAAGGTAGCATCACAATAGGCACATTTATACAAATCAATTCCCGTATGGGTGGCCATATGTTCCTGTATTAAAAAAAAAAAAACATATTAATATTTCCAATTACAACAACACATTCTACTTACCTTTAATAAGGTCGGCGTCTTGAAAGCCTTCTCACACATCGAACATTTATGTTTCTTCTCGGGATTATGCTTGAATTCAATGTGCCTCTTTTTGGCCGGTTTCGATGAGGATACAAAACCACATATTTCGCAGCGATGTTCCTCATTGGCATGGACATGCATGTTCCGTATATGCCTCAGGGCCGTTCGTCGACTCGAATACCATTGACCACAATATTTACATTGTTCCGGTACTTTGGGTTCATGAACATTTTCCTTGTGTTTTCTCAGTGTGGTTATGGTGGTCTCCGCTTTGCCACAAATATCACAAATTAATGTCTTTGCCGGATTGTGGTATTTCAGATGGCGATTTAGATGGGCCTCACAGGAAAATCTGAAACAATGGAAATCGAAAATTATACAATTTTCTTGCAAATGAAGTTGCTTAAGCTCTAGCTTTTGTGTAATTTAGGGTTTTAAAAGTAGTGATGAAATGGAGAGACAGGTTGGATTAGCTCTGTGAATAGAACAGAAGCGCCTTGGAACCAATTAATTAATTAAACGTTTTTGAATAAATTTTCTGATGTTTAGTTATTTTATTCGAAATTTATTTTAAATTATTAAAATTTTATTAAACTTACATTCGAAATAGTTTTAGAATTAAACTATAATAAGTTCAAAATGTTGGAAAATTGAAAGAAAAAAGGAATTGGTTGTAGTTCCTTAATTTAAGTAGCTACTAAGACATGACAAAATGTGTACAATATGGAAGTTCTATAGATGCTCTCTCAGACGTCCTTTAGATATTTTTTTCATATAAGAAAATTAATACAAATCTGTG